TGAGCTTCAAGGCAGAGCGAYGACCACATGCTGGCAGACTCCAGGAACAGTCTGCCTTGGCTGAGCAAAGACAGCAATGCTCCTGGACACAAGGCCATATGAAAAAGGTGACCACCACCACTGCCCCAGGCCCAATAGGGTTTCCCTGTAACAGAGGGTAGGTGTGGAAGTAGATAAGGTTTCTGGGAGCCACACCTCTGGGGCCTGTCAGAGATACACTTCCTGCCATCACCTGGAAGTATTTACTTCCAATGGGGCCTCACCTGGAATTGTTGAAGAAGGGAGGGTTAATTCCCAGAGGCCATTTCTCCAAATGAGGATGCATTTAATTGGAAATTTCCCATCTCATGAATGCACAAACCCAGGGCTGCCAGTAGGTGGGCCTTGGGACTCACCCAAGGGCTGTGACTCAGATTTCCACCCTGAGGGTCAGCCCAAACTCTCTCATGACCAGCTGCCCTCTGCCTATTCCTGCCACTGGCCTTTTTGGACACAGACTGTGGCAATCCTGTCAGGTGGGAAAGGACCTCCCTCCCCCCAGCACACTTGTCCTTGAGTCTCTGAATTCACATTTGCCTGGGAGGACAGAAGACAGAGAAGGGAAAGAAAGACAGGTCAAGGGCTTTCAGTGCTGCAGCAGTACAAAGACACAGCTGCTTCGCTAGCAGCAAACAGGGGCTGAAAAGCCACCACCAGAGAAAAGAATGGCTGACTGCACCGTGTTCTCCAGCTGAAGMTCTAAAAGGGAAACGTGCATACACTCTAGGGACAAGAAGACTCTTGAAAGTGTGTTAAGTTAAAGAAAATTTGTATAACAATAAATATACTGAAACCTTAATATATAACCCTAATTATACATCTAATACATTTACCGAAAAGGTTTACGGAGTACGTAGGCAGCAGGGTGAGCTGAGGGAGGGGCTGAGGTGCAGGGTGAGTGGAGGAGGAAGGTTTGTGTGCTGCTCCTTTTACTGGTGAGCTGATGTTTTCCAGTGAACATACTTGCAGAGCCCTAACCCTACACCTTGGTCTAGGGTTGACTTTCAACAGATCATAGCAAAGGAGCTGCTCAGCTGTGTATGAAACATGAAGCCTGACCCAGGAGTGGGTCAGCCAGGGATGTCTAGCGTCAGGCTCCCCTCAAATGCATGCTGCGTGACTTGTGTGATCTTACAATTACAGTTAAGTGCTGCTTAATGATGGGGATACGTTCTTTTCCCCCCATTATTGGGGGTTGTACCCAGGGGCACTTAACCACTGAGCCACGTCCCAGCCCTTTTTATTTTTTATTTTGAGACAGGGTCTCACTCAGTTCCTTAGGGCCTAAATTGCCCAGGCTGGCCTCACACTGGCCAGCCTCTGCCTCAGCCTCCTGAGTCACTGGAATTACAGGTGTTGCTACTACACTGCCTAACGGGGATGTCTTCTGAAAGGTGTCATTACATGATTTGTCATCACAGTGTCCTTACACAATCTAAGATGGCTAAGCTGTCCCCAGGTGACATGCAGTCTGTGGTTGGCAGATGTCCTTCCTGAGTAGTCTTTGGAGCTTCCTGTTTTCCTTATCTCTGGTGCCCTAAGGAAGGATGCTTACTTCTTCTCACAAGATTGCCGAGGACATGAACTCTGGCTCCTTGCAGCCCAGTTATTAAAACTGATAAGTGAAGGACAGACACACCTGAGGCGGGGCAATGGCCTGCAGRGCTGAACTATTAGAGACTCCAGGGAGAATTCTCAGCCTCCAGAAAATGAATCCCGGCAATAGTCATCATTCTGGGAGTACCCGGATTCACCTGCCAGCTCCGGTCATGCAGGCAGCGTCTTGGACACAGTTACCTGGGCATGAACTGGAGAAGGGCAGGAGCAACACTGCCCCCTGCTGTTTCCATCACGGGGTGGTCATGGGGCACTCTGCCGGTGAGAGCTTTCCTCTCTCTGAGGAGAGGGCAGACTCCCTGTGTTTGTGGAACTGGGTGGATCTGGACACACACCACCTGCTCATCCTCTCCCATCTCCCTCAACAAGCCAGCCAGAGGGCACAGTCAGTGTGGCTCCTCCATGCTGACCCCACGTGGGAGCAYGGTGGTGACAGTGGTAGCCCTAGCTTGGCAGAGCTGCCCAGGACGGGGTGAGCCTGATTCTATAAATCTAGTTCAGAGAAGGAAACCCACCTCCCTACCAATCAACTCCATGATGCCAACCCACAACAACAGAGGTGGGGAGGGAAGAACAGAAGTCCTGGATTAGACAAAGCGGAAGGCTGGGAAGGGCGGGGGAAGGGAATAGGGAAGAYGGAAGGAATCAGACACAAGTTTCCTGTCCTTATATATGAACACACGACCAGGCAACTCCACATCATGTACAACCACAAGAATGGGATCCTAATTAGAATAAGTTACACTCCATGTATGTAAAATATGTCAAAATACACTCTACTCACTCCTCAGAGGAGGACAAACAAACAATCAACAAGTACATGAAAAAACGCTCACCATCTCTAGCAGTCAGAGAAATGCAAATCAAAACCACCCTAAGATACCATCTCACTCCAGTAAGAATGGCAGCCATTCTGAAGTCAAACAACAATGAGTGCTGGCGAGGATGTGGGGAAAAGGGTACACTTGTACATTGCTGGTGGGACTGCAAATTGGTGCAGCCGATTTGGGAAGCAGTATGGAGATTCCCTGGAAAGCTGGGAATGGAACCACCATTTGACCCAGCTATTCCCCTTCTCATACTATTCCCTAAAGACCTTAAAAGAGCGTACTATAAGGATACTACTACATCGATGTTCATAGCAGCACAATTCACAATAGCTAGACTGTGGAACCAACCTAGATGCCCTTCAATAGATGAATGGATAAAAAAAATGTGGCATTTATACACAATGGAGTATTACTCAGCACTAAAAAATGACAAAATCATGGAATTTGCAGGGAAATGGATGACACTAGAGCAGATTATGCTAAGTGAAGCTAGCCAATCCCTAAAAAACAAATGCCAAATGTCTTCTTTGATATAAGGAGAGCAACTAAGAACAGAGCAGGGAGGAAGAGCATGAGAAGAAGATTACCATTAAACAGGGACGAGAGGTGAGAGGGAAAGGGAGAGAGAAGGGAAATTGCATGGAAATCGAAGGAGACCCTCATCATTATACAAAATTACATATAAGAGGAAGTGAGGGGAAAGGGAAAAAAAACAAGAGAGAGAAATGAAGTACAGTAGATGGGGTAGAGAGAGAAGATGGGAGGGGAGGGGAGGGGAGGGGGATAGTAGAGGATAGGAAAGGCAGCAGGATACAACAGACACTAGTATGGCARTATGTAAAAAAGTGGATGTGTAACCGATGKKATTCTGCAACCTGTATACAGGGTAAAAATGGGAGTTCGTAACCCACTTGAATCAAATGTATGAAATGATATGTCAAGAGCTTTGTAATGTTTTGAACAACTAATAAAAAAATTGTAAAAAAAATACACTCTACTGTCATGTCTATCTAAAAAGAACAACAACAAAAATATCAACTCCGAGTTCTCCCACAGAACCCTGTCYGTAGTGAGGACGACACTTTGATCTCACTCTTCCGTCTTGTTTCTCAGTGGTTCAGAACTCAGCAGGGGATACAGGGGGCTTTTTCCTGGGCCCTTCTGAAMTTCCAAATTAAAGTAAGTTGGAGAAGCCTAGGCTCATGTTAACAGCCAGATCTGAAGACCAGGCAAACGCAGTAAGCTAACAGGCACCTGCGGTTTCCCGCAGGCCTGGCATTGCCTTTACAGAATGCCATCTGCTGGAACACACCAGTGTGACAGGGCATCTGAGGAGGAGCAGCCTGGGGCCACTCTACAAAGGAGGCCAATACGTGCCCACTTATTTTTGCTGAAATTGATGGCAGCYTGCTTGACCCAAAAATGTTTATCRCCTTAAAAAATAAAAAAGTAACGTTCCTCTCCTTCCAAATCCTAAATCCTACCAGTTCAGTCACTGCACACCCCATCTAAACTGCTAAGGAGCCCTGAGAACTCCATGTCACCTGACCCTGGGCTACCGGGGCAGGGGCAGCACCATAAAGGGTGCGACTGGCTCCACTGGCAAAATGGAAAACGGACAGACTGGACAGGAGGCCACGGGGACGTTAACCTACTGAAGTTCATGATCATGTGGCTGTTTTCTTTCTATGAGGGACTGGGGATTGGACCCAGCGTCTCATGTGWGCTAGGCAAATGCTCTACCTCTGAGCTACACCTCCCATCCCCTAAGAGAATATTCTTAATCTTAAGAGATAACACTAACCTTATAAACATATACAACTCTTAAGTAGCTGTTTAAAAATAAATTTTAAAAACTCTTAAGTATTTTGCAGTAAAGGGTCATAATATATGCAATCGATCCTTGAATGGTTCAGAAAACAGATTTTATGTGTGTGTATGGAAAAAGAGAAAGCAAATAAACAGGTAATGCTAACAGTTGATGACAGATAAAGGGTATACCAATCTCCTTTGTGCTACTTTTAKAACTGTCCTGTAAATCTGCAATTATTCCAAGTAAAAGTTAAAGGAGAAGAAAGAATCCCTGACTTAGACCATATAAACCCCAAAGGGCAATTCTTTTAAAAAAGAGAACGAGGCTTCCTTCCTTCTTTTCCGACTGACACCCAGGCCTTGGAGGCCTGGAGCAGCTTCCCCAGAAGCTCACAACATGCCTCTCCACTCCAGCYCCAGAGACTGCATTCACTTTCCTCTTGTGGGGCTGGGGCTGGGGCTCAGTGGGAGGGCACTTGCCTGGCATGTGTGAAGYCCTGGGTTCAATCACAAGGACAGCCAAAAAAAAGAAGAAAAAAATCAGAGACAGTTTTCCTTTTGAGAGTTTCTAGGCCTTCAGATCCAGCTGCGATTCAGCCTCTTGAAGGAGATTTTCTCATGCACATTCATTTTCTTTAGCTACATTCATTTTAAATTTGAGGAACAGAGCAGGGGTGCTCTGCCACAGGCAGAGAGCCTCACCGTCCCAGGCCTCGTGAAGTCCACGCTGTGCGCCAGGCTCTGCCGCATCTGGTTACTGAAGAGGCGGATGCAGACACTCTGTAGGTACTCCGGGGTGATCTGCAAAGAAGACACGGGGACATGTGGTGAAAGGCACACAACCCACCCAAGGGACAGKAGGAGGCTGCTGTCCCCCAACAGCCTCTGTAAGGCACAGTGATGAAATGCATGAGCTAGAAAAAGAAYCATTTGGCTTTAACTTTGGAGCTCTTGAGAAGAATTAATGCACTAACTTGACAGAAAAAGCTGCTAATATATCCTGAGGTGTGATCAGAGGACATCACGCTTCAAACGGTATAGTCTTACCTGCTATAGTCYCACTGCCTTGGAAAATAGATTTTAAGCCATTTTTGTAAATTCAAGAAATAAAGTCACTGGGTGGCCATCATGTGGTGGAAAGAGGACCAGGCTGCAAACCTGAAGGCCTGGGCCCTAGAGAGAAGCAGCAGCCTGCCCCTTGTACTCCTGACCTGAGATGAATTAGGGTGACCTGCAGGGCCACAGCGAGGGGTAAATAGGGTCACGTAATGATGGCTGGGTACATGCTGAGTGATGACAGAGACGTGACTAACAGTCAAGGGCCTGGCAACCCGAGGCTGAACTGCGTCACCATTAGGGCTGCTGTCCCACATTGTTCCTCAGTATGCCTTCACCTCGCTCACAGGCCTTATAAGTCACGATGRGTATGTGACACCTAAGGCGGTGATCTCTGCATTTTTTCCTTTCATCTTTTCATAAAAATAATACATGCTTATTTAAAATGTGTGAGTCTCCCACTTTCTTCCAAATCACAGCCTTCCCCCACAAACCAATCCTTAGGGGCAATTAAGAATTCTGCAGCCTTACAAACTTGTCTGCATCCGTCAGAGGGGAACCTCCTTTGGCACAGCTTCATGAYTCTTTTGTGCTGAAACTTCCACATGGTAATGGAACTGGCTTCTATTCCTGCCCCTCGCTCACTCATCTCCTYGGAGGAGGGCAGCCTAACTGGAGAGCTGGGAAGACCTGGGAACACCGGCCCAGACCTCTTCTCGCCTGCTGGGGCTCCTGCCTATACCACTGGAAACTTCTGGGCTGCTCTGTCCATTCCATGGCAAATGTCTGATCATTCCTGGACACACAACAACATAAGAAATCACAGATCACTCAGAGAAAGAAGAGCCCCACTGAAGGCTAACCTCCTACATCATCCTGAGTGCACTGCCAATGGATTCCTACAGTCTTCAAACGTAAACATTCCCTTTTTCACATATGTGCATAAAAGTGAACTGAAATAATACAAGAAGTTCAAAAAGGAAARGAGTTGAAAGAGCTGTGGTGGAGGAGGCTTCCTACACGATCCTCTGAATCCCGTCTTTTGCCATGAACACAATCTCTTTCACATTACAGACCAGCCAGTCCAGCCTCAACACTTGAGGCCCAGGCCCCTTCACACCCCGCCTGCGGTCTGCAAGCTTCTGCTCACCAACTCCAGCGATAGGAGCTCACAAGCTCATTTTGGTCACATGCCTCATCAGGTGTCACATGAACCTGGCTGTAGGCGGTACACCCAGAATGAGGCAAGTTAATTTTTAATATGTCAGAAAGCAAAAGGAAGGTTCATACATTATGAAAAACTAATTTGAARAGCAAACAATGAACTGAGAAAAATACTTGCACTAGATAAACTGTGAGTGGCTCTACTGCAACAGCCCTGTCCAAAGCTGAGCTCCTGATACCCTCACGCCTGCTCCCCACCCAAGGCCTCCCTGTCTCAGCTGGTGGCAACACCATCTTTCCAGTTGACTGCACTCCCTCCCTCCCAGGTCCAGTTCAGCACCATCTTCATCCCACATCTGGACAAGCACTTCTTCCACCTCAACMACATCCTCCTTCCAATGACTGCAACTGCCTCTGTGCTGCTCCTCTCAGTCTCCCTGCAGCACCTGTGGACGGTTCTGAGTGGCCAGGTGACTGCCACATCTGTCAGACCTCTCCACTTCAGCATTCTTCTACTCGGCTTCCTCAGGGTGAAGGTTGAGCCTTCTGATGGCCCCCAAGCTGCCCGCCCTGCCTTGCAACTTCTCCTCCTGCTTGTCCCCACCCCAGCCTGCCCTGGGCCCTGCTGGCCCCTCTGGGCCCAGCTCTGCTCCTTACACACTGAGGCGCAGGCCACGCTSTGCACTGGCTGAGGCTTTGGCCTGGAACTATCTTCTCCCCACACTGTATGCTATTCCCTTGCCTCTTCCCAGCAACCCCAGCAATGAAGCTCGGTCTACCTGCACCCTGTCCAAACTCGCAGAGCCCCAAACTCTGATCCCTTCATCTGGCTTCCCTTTGCCCCCTAGAGCTGTCCTCCTCTAGCCCAGGTTCTTATTTATTCTGCTTAGGTTTGCTGTTCGCCATCTGCACTCTTTACTGCAGTGCCTGCTCCCTGAGGGTGGGGACTCTGCTTTGCAGAGTGATGCATTCCAAATTCCTAAAATAGAGACTGGCGTACAGTATGTATTTAACAAATCTTTTTCAAACAAATAAAACATATTTAAAAAGTTCAATTCCATATGTAAAGACTATAACATATATTTAAATCATGAGATAATATTTCTAACTATCAAATTTGCAAAACATAAAAATTTTAATAATAATACCCAGAGTTGGCAAGCGTTTTTTGTTTGTTTGTTTGTTTGTTTTGTTTTTTAATAAAGAAATGGAATCAAGTGGAATCGCTGGAATCGCTTAACCTTCTTGAAGGATCTTTTTTGAGGGGGTACTGGGGGTTGAACTCAGGGACACTCAACCACTGAGTCATATCTCCAGCCCTATTTTATATTTTATTTAGAGTCAGGGTCTCACTGAGTTGCTTAGTGTCTCACTGTTCCTGAGGCTGGCTTTGAACTCGCTATCCTCCTGACTCAGCCTCCTGAGCCACTGGGATTATAGGTGTGTGCCACCATACCTGGCTCTGAAGGACCTTAAGCATAAAATTCAACCTGGCAAATCAACATTAAAAAAACATAACAAAGGAGCTGGGGTTGTAGTTCGGTGGTGGAATGCTGGGTTTGATCCTTAGCACCAAMCACATAAAAATAAAGAAAATTGGGGCTAAGGATATAGCTCAGTTGTAGAGTGCTTGCCTAGCACGCACAAGGCCCTGGGTTCACTCCCCAGCACCACCAAAAAATAAAATATGAATGAATAAATAAATTTAAAAATAAATAAATAAATAAATAAAGGTATTGTATCCATRTACAACTAAAAATATATTTTTTAAAAAACATATAACAGAGGTTCATCTCCAAAGACATTTTCAACTTTATCAATGACATGAAAACAAAAACCTGGGGACAACCTAAATACCTAATAGCAGGTACCTGATACTACATGAAGTGTGCCACTGCCATATGACYAAAAACCCTGCAGCCACTGAAGGTGAGACACTGCAGAACAACACTCAGTGGCTTCGAGCGTGTGATTCTGTAGTATTACACAGCAGGCCAGAAAATAATGTGTGGCCTAGAATGCACTTTGGGAAAACATGTGTATTTAAGTTCTGAAAAAAGTCTGAAATATCGACCAGTATTAGGACTCACAATTATATGTAATGTTTCTTTTTCTTTTTGGATCATTCTATATTTTTGAAATTTTCTATAATGCATACTATCTTATAATCACATTTTAAAAGTCAGTAGAAAGAATTTTAATACACAAACTTACACTGGTAATAAAACTATATATAGTACTTAATACACACACAAAAATGAATACAAATAAAATTATGAAAATACAAAAAACATCAGCAGATTGTAGCAAGGTCTTTTTTTTTTTTTTTTTTTGTAGCAAGGTCTTACACTCATTGTGACACACTACAGTTTTACAAAATGTTTTCCACTGAAGGCAAAGTGACAAGGGATCTCTGCATTGTTTCTTATAACTTCACCATGAACCTATAATTACTTCAATTTTTAAAAAAACTTATTCTCCACAAGGAGATTTTATTGTACTTCCTAATTTTTTAAAAGTGAAATACTAAAGTCATTCCCATTATAGTCAGGGAGAAAATGAAGATGCCCATGACATCATTCAACAATGTCCTACAGGCCTTAGCCAACACTACTAAAGAAAAGAAAGATACTGAAACAAAGTAAAATAAAATTAAAATATCATTATTTGAAGATAGAGAATCAACTGAAAAACCTAAGCAAGTAATAGGGTTCAGAAAGGTAGGTAAATGTATACAGATCAACATGTGAAAATCAACTGCTTTTCACTATAGCAGCAGGGCAAGAGCATTTTTCYCACACATTTTCTTTTGTTGCCAATTTATCCTTATAACATTAAGAATTAGGGACAGAGGTTGGTGGCACATGCCTGCAATGCCAGTAACTCAGGRGGCTGAGGCAGGAGGATCCCAAGTTCAAGGCCAGCCTGGACATCTTATTAAGACCCTRTCTCAAAATAAAAAATAAAAAGAAATGGGAATGTTACCTCAATGGTGGAGCACCCCTGAATTCAACCCCCAGTGCTGCAAAAGCAAAAATAAACAAACCAAAAAATAAATAAATAAATAAGCTAGGGGGCTGGGGCGGTGGCTCAGTGGTAGAGCGCTTGCCTAACATGTGACGGCACCGAGTTCAATCTTCAGCAACACATTAAAAAAATAATTAATTAATTAAAGGCAATGTGTCCATCTACAACTAAAAAAAATTTAAAAAAAGAATAAGTTAGGGGCTGGAGATGTGGCTCAGCGGTAGCGCGCTCGCCTGGCTTGCGTGCGGCCCGGGTTCGATCCCCAGCACCACATACCAACAAAGATGTTGTGTCCGCCGAGAACTGAAAAATAAAATATTAAAAAAAATTCAAAAAAAAAAAAAAAAGAATAAGTTAGATAAAGATACGATAAACAATGTGTTGGGAAAATGGGTAAAATACTGCAAACAGCATGATGAACCCATGTGAAGCATCAGCTCAGCCCCTGTCCGTGTGAGCCTTTTTAAATAGAGGGGCAGGCTCTGCTGGTGGAGGAGTGGCCAGGGACTGCCGACCACACAGCCCATTCTCCAGACACCACTTCTCTCCAACAGAAATATACACAGGGATCTTCCTTACCATCTTGCCACTGACTGTGGCCTCCAGGGAATCCACCAGCTCGGCTGTGACTCCAATGAGGTTGTGGTAGTCGGCCTGGATCTTATTGTACCGCTTCAGGTACGTCATTGACCGACGCTCGGCTTCGACCAACTGCTGGTGGAGCTGCTGCAGCATTTCTAGAAAGAGGGTGTACATGAAAGCCACACACAAGAACAACAACAAAACCCCACAGAACAAACTGCTTTCTTCTCCAAGGACTATCATACCTACTTTCAGAATATTTTGCCGTAATAACAGACTTGACACTATTGTGTTTAGCACTTTACCTCTAGTTCATGCCACCTATAATTACAAAGGATTTTATAATCATTAATTTAAATTCTCTTGGTGCTGTAAGTTCAACTAAATCATCATTGGGCTCCCAAACAAAATCTCTTCCCTTGACTGACCCCCACAAAAGTTCTACTAGTTCTTCTATTTCTAAGGATTAGAATCAACATTTCTTTCTATATTCAGCTCACAAAACAGTGGAACCAAACCTGTGTCCTTTTCTCTGTTTTTGTACTATGAGGCTATCTGGGGGATATTCCTATCCACAGGATGGTCCTCCATTTTAAACAAAAATTGGAGTTGCTTGACTCATGCTTTAAGAATAAAAACCCAGGGTTGGGGTTGTGGATCAGCGGTAGAGCGCTTGTCTAGCATGTGCAAGGCCCTAGGTTCGATCCTCAGCACCACATGAAAATAAATAAATTAAATTAAATTAAAGGTATTGTGTCCAACTACAACTAAAAAAATTGATATTAAAAAAAAAAAAGAATAAGAATCCAGGGCTGGGGCTGTAGCTCAGTGGTAGAGTGCTCGCCTAGCATGTGTGAGGCCCTGGGTTCCAACCTCAGCACCACATAAAAATAAATAAATAAAATAAAGGTATTGTGTCCATCTACAACTACAAAAAAAAAAAAAAAAAAGAATCCAGAAGAAGATAAGACTGCAGTGCTCATGCTGCTATTTGAGAAAGCAGAAAGCCACTCCGCTAGAGAGATCGAGGCCACACCACTATGGTCACACCTAGAAAGGGCAGATTCTCATCAGGGCCAGACTTATCACTTTTTTTGAGGGGGGGTGTTATCAGATATTAAACTCAGGGGCACCTAACTATTGAGCCACATTCCCAGCCCTTTTTTGGATTTTTTTTTTTAGAGACAAGGTCTCATTAAATTGCTTAGGGCCTTGATAAGTTGCTAGGGCAGGCTATGAACTCGTGATCCTCCTGCCTCAGCCTCCCAAGATTCTCACTTCTTAATCTACAACATGAGGATAATAATTTTACCTTGAAGGRTTACTATAAGGATTAAGTAAAAAACACACTCCAAGTGTCCAGTGCAATGGCTGGGATAGAGCAGGTAATCAATAAGTGGTGGTTATTATTATTTCATTTCACAGAAAGGGGTCAAAGACTTTCTGAATGTATTTCTATGCAAATAGATAACTGGCAAAAGTGCAAAAAGTCTGCATCCTAAGCAGTGGTACGCAAGCTTTGAAATACATCAGAAACATCCAAAAATAAAGATGATCAGAGCCAGGCACAGTGGTACATGCCTGTAATCCCAGCAGCTTGGAGGCTGAGGCAGGAGATCATGAGTTCAAAGCCAGCCTCAGAAACAGCCAGGCGCTAAGCAATTCAGTGAGATCCTGTCTCTAAATAAAATACAAAATAGGGCTGGGGATGTGGCTCAGTGGCTGAGTGCCCGAGTTCAACCCCCAGTACCCCGAAAAATTATAATAATAAAATAAAAATAAAGATRATCAGGCCTCACACTGAGACTTTGATTCTGTAGATACTCGGCGGGAGAGGGGGGTGTCCTATGCATCTATGTTTTCAACAAGCTCCCCAATGACTCGATGCATAACATAAGTTTGAGAACCAGTGTCCTAAGTTACCCATTCTTCCATGTTTGTTATGCATGCTCACACACATTCAGACTGTATTTCAAAAACTTCCATGTTTCACAATTATTTGAGTAGAGAAATAACTATTATAACTATCAAAACCCAAAATATCATTAACAACTATTTATTATTCTTATTCAGCAACCATCAAATCTCAGTGTTGAAAAATAATTTTAAGAAGTCAGCTGATACAAATTTACATCCAATACTTGAGCTCCCAGAAAACATCTCTGGAAATGATTTCTTAAGCTTCTCCTTAAACATTACAAGGGAGAGGGACTCACTACATTCTTTCTCTTTTTTAAATGTGTGCTATCATTAAAGCTCTTCATATGTATCAAAATCAAAAATACATAAATTATAATTTCCAAAGATGAAAATTCTCCTATTCACAATCCCACCTCATGGTAACAAATATGAGAATATTTCTGTGCAATCTGTCCATGAGGGACCAAGTTGCAAAACCCATCATCTGGGCCATAATACCTCCCAAATCTCAACATGAGTGTCCCCAGAGCAGTCTCTCTCCAGAGGCAAATGCACAAAGGAACTCTTCCCCTTAGAAGCTCATTTTGTAATTAACTAAACAAAAGGAACCTTTGCCTTGGGAACCCAGAATTATAATTTATGACAGTTTCAAACGTGGCACCTTTAAGGAAAAGGAGAACTAACTTCCTGCGATGGATGAGAGAAGCTAACTTCAGGATGAGAGAAGCAGACCACTGGACTGAAAGTTTCATGGCCAATTTCAAATCATCATTTGGCAGAATAATCTACTATCCAGAGACATCAGCTTGCAGACATCAGAGCTAGCTTCGAACAAAGAGTAAATAAGATCTTAATTTTAGAGACTTCTTGGCTGCTCAGGGAAAAACAATCAATTTTAAATATGGGGTTCTGGGGGCGTGGCCTAGTGGCTGAGTACTTGCCCAACACGTGCAAGGCCCTAGTTTGAACCCCTGACCATGACTGTATGATTTCAGTGATAGCTCGAGGTAACCAACTTTATTCCAGAGCATTAAGCAGCACTTTGACTCTTTTCCCTATCAAAATTTTTATGAGATAAGAAAAACTCTGATGATTTAGATACGAGGTGTCCCTGAAATGTTCCTGTGTTAATGCAGGAAACATTTGGGGGTGAGATGATTAGATTATGAGACCATGACCTAATCAGTAGGTTAATTCACTTGATGGATTAATAATCTGAATAGAAAAGACAGGTGGGGCACGGCTGGAAGAGGTGGGTCGCTGGGGATTACACATTTTGTCTCTGGCTTCTTGCATCCTCTCTGCTTCTGAGAAGCTTTCCTCCAATACACCCTTCTGCCATGATGTTCTGACTCATCTGGAGCCCAGAGCCAGGGAGCTGGCAGACCATGGGCTGAACCTTGAGCCAAAATAAACTTTTCCTCCTCTGTTGTTCTTGTCAGGTATTTTGGTCACAGCTACAAAAAAAGCTGCCTAACACAACTAAGCCAAGATGCCTTGCCATGCACGAACTCAACTTTTAATAGGGAAGTATCTTTTAGACTTTTAATTCTAAAACTACTGATATGATGTGCACAAAAGTCCAAAGAATGCGTCTCAAGTTTACAAAAATTTGAGATGCAAGAGTCATACGCAACTAAAAGAACGTCACAGGACATTTTCTGATAATTCTAGCATTCAAGGAACCAATAATGAAAGTGATAGAAATCTCACCCATGATCACTCAAGCTTTCTCTGTTAACATTTCTATTTCACTTAGAGGCATTGCTTCCCACTCCAACAAAGAGTTAATGAGATTTTAATTTTAGAGACTCCTTAGCTGCTTAAGCAAACCAGGGAGACTATGTCTCTAATAAAATATAAAAAAGTTCCAGGGATGTGGTTCAGTGCTTAAGCACCCTGGATTCAATTTCTGATACAGGGGAGAAAAAAAAAAGCAAAACAAAACAGAACAAAAATGACTATATGGATTAAAGTTCCTTTCTAGCTTTTCATCATTACCTTTTCTGCTTGTTTTTTGGGGTGAGCAGCCAGACCTGGTTTGCTGGAACCCCTGGAATTCAGCCTGTGGCAACACTGGGAGGTGGTGAAACCCTTAGGAGGGCCCGGGCCCATCTTTTTTTTTTTTTTTTTTTTGGGGGGGGGGGGGCAGGGGAGAGTACCAGGAATTGAACTCAGGAGTGCTAATCACTGGGCACAGCCCTTTTTGTAGTTTATTTTGAGACAGGGTCTATTGAGTTGCTTAGGGCCTCGCTAAATTGCTGAGGCTAGCTCTGAACTCGTGATCCTCCTGCCTCAGCCTACCAAGCCACGGGGATTACATGTGTGCACCACTGTGGCTGGCCCAGACCTGTCTTTTCATTCTGCTTTCTGGTTCCTCATGAAAGCTCCACCCCTTGCTCCATGTCTTTACCATCAGGGTCTCTCACCACAGGCCCAAAGAAATAAGACAGCCCAATCTTAGGATGGAAACTCCAGAACTGTGAGTTAAATAAACATTTTCTCTTTATAAGTTAATTGCCTCAAGAACTTCATTACAGTGATGAAAAGATGACTCACACACAAGGTTACTAAGGACAAAACAAACACTAAAGCCTTTCACATCTGACACTACTGAAACTCTCCACAGGTGGCAGACCTAAAGTATTACTCATTTGTCAAGTTGGTAAGCAGAGTTAAATAATTAACTAATATTTTCTTTCTTTAAAAAAGTTTAACTCTCTAAAAGAAGCATAGAAAAACAATGGCAGGACTTCTGCAATATTCTCTGACATTGCTCTACTCTGAAAGGGGCAAACGGGATATTTCACAGACCAAAACTTTCATGTAGCAAAACTCCACCTACTGGGAGTTGAGGAACACGCCATCGATACTTACTAAAGGCATGAAGCACCACAYACACCCTTCCCAACATGTTAATTCAGACACTTTTCAAAATGTAATATCAAAGACAAAACTGGCCCCAACTGAAGTCACCAATTTCATATTAACTAGTTTTTCTCACCTCGCTGGAAAATGTTCTGGTAAAAATTACTGACCATGGAAAAACATCATTTTACATATAAACTTATGATTGGAATTTCTACTTTGAATATAAGAAATGGAAAAGATTTAGAAGAATGGGTGCTGAATAAAAAACCCCATTTGACTAGTTCAAGATAAAAGTTAAAATATTACAATAATTCCATAAGGGGCTGGGGATTTAGCTCAGCTGGTAGAATGTTTGCCTCCCATGCACAGGGTCCTGGGTTCAATCCCTAGCACTACCACCAAATAATATAATAATAATAATAATAATAATAATAATAATTCCTTAAAATAATAATTCCTTAAAATAATCCCATAGTGTCCTGCCTTCAGAGCTGCTGCAGTCATTCATTTCCCTTAGGGACCCTATCTGGACCCTCCATTTCCCCAGGCCTTGCTATCCAGTACGAAGACTAGCTGGCAACACCAGACACCCTGAGAGCAGGCCTCAACACTGCGGATAAAGATGATYACAGACCACTTTGTAAATATTTAAAGCCCTCATTTTCCAAGTCTACAAACTCTTTCCATCGCTGTTCCTACTTCACAGCTTAAAACCTGAATTGGCAGAGCTGTTCTTATAAAAATTTTAATCTAGATGATTTACCTTTGTTGTTTTGTCCATTCTCCTTCTGRGATGAGAAATAAGTTCAGGAAAACGAGCGTGTGGTAGACAGTACCAAAGAGGAAGAGGATTCTCAGGACAACGAAGCCCAGGTCTAAGCATTTCTGTGAGGAGCTAAGATAGTTAGCGATGTCTCAATACTTTGTTGATTTCACTCCCAAAACAATCAGTCCTCTTCTCTCCATTGCAATGATCACTGTGTTGGTGGAGCCTTGCCTATTCCCACAGCCTCCTAAAGGCCTTCTACCCGCTTCCAAAGACCTTCCCCCTGCCGCTGAAATGTCCTAAAAATGCAAATATGCAACTTCAACTCCAAAGCTTTATCCTAAGGAAATTGAGATTGGGGTGAGTATAGTGGAGCCAGACTGCCTGGGTTCAAACCTCAGCTCCCGCGTGTCTGGATGGGATACCAAAGCAAGGTATTCATGGGGGGTTTCTCTTTTGATCTCATTAAATTCTTCTTAATTTTTTCATAATAGCACTATTCACATACCATATAATTCACCTATTTATAAGGTGTACATTTCAATAGTTACAGTATATTCACAGAGTTATGCAACCATCACCACAGTCAATTTTGTTTTGGGGTTTTTTTGTTTGTTTGTTTTCCCTTCTCTTTTGCAGTGTGGGAGTCAAACCCAGGGTCCATACATGATAGGCAAGTGTTRTACCAATTTTATAACATCTTCAGCATCCCCCAAAAGAAACCCCTTATTGACTAGCAGTCATGCTCACTTGCCCTGTTCTCCCCAGCCCCTGCCACCATTAATGTACTTCCTGCTTTCATAGATTCACCTCTTCTAGACCTTTCACATAAACAGAATCA